TTGTTTTTTTATATCGAAATCAAATGCTTGGGCATCAATAACCTTTAAAGGTTATTCTTGGCTAGTACTTATAACTACCACCTATGCTTTTGAAGATGAAAATGACGTTTGAATTCACGTTACCTACTACACATTCTTATATATAATTTTTACGTTACGTTCTCAATAAAGTAGCATATCATATCTCCAGTGTCTTTGACCGTTTTTCTTTCTTTTATTGGCAAGCATCGATTAACATATTTTGGTAAAAAGAAAATTTATGTTTGTTGATTAACAAAATTGCAATTACAATTTTACCTTTCATTACAAGCACAAAGTGTTTCATCAATGCTATTTTTGAGTTAAACTGCTTAAAGGTGTATGGATGTTATCTTCCTTAAACATGTATATTATGTTTATTTTTCACCACTTCAAATTTCGTTTTGGTAGGCTATAAAATGTTATAATATGTCAACCACACTAAATCTACTAGATCAAGTACCGACGAGGCCTATCTGCAAATACCAGGGCTCATAAAACAAGTCACAATGGTACATTTATGTGTTACTTCTAGAAGAAAAAGTCAATTCCACGTGGCCATATATGCCATTACTAAGTTTTCTTTCGAAATCACTTCATGCGTTTTTGATATATACGTGTGTGTGTATTAACAGTATTAGTTAATATATCGAACGCCATTACTTTTTATTTTGTTTTATTGTTTATTATTATGCTATTATTATCAAAAGAGTGTTTTGCATTGCTACCATAAAATTTGTATTTAGGACTAACCTATATCTTCCAATCTGGCCGAACCACCAAGTAAGATATATTTGGATTTATAAGTAGAAACGTAAGAAATTTGTACGTAATTATCTATACTGATTTTCAGGTTGATTTTTAGTTTCGGTGTAAGTACATAGCTTACTTTGATATCGGAAGCTATTACATATATATAATGTTATTCATATTCAACAGGCAGTTAGTCTTAGTACTGAAACATGTCACGTGCATTACTATCCACTGTGATACTGTCACGTGAGGGTTGTCACATGTGGTGTTGTCAGCTCCAGCTTTCTCACATGCAGTTTTATCACATTTAGTGCTGTCGTATTCAATGTTTTCATGTACATGAGTGTTGTTTCACGTAGTATTGTCGCTTGTGGTTTTATCATATGTGCAAATATTGCTGTCAAACTGAATGCTGTCACACGCATTGTTTATACATTAGCTTTTTCACATATAGTGTCATCCCAAACAGAATGTTGTCGCTTGCAGTGTTATCATAAGTAATGTTTTCACATACAGCATATACTCTGCTAGTGCCATTCTTATCAATAATGTTTAAAGGTGTCTCTGCAAACATCCTGAAAACAGAGAAAAAAAAAACATAAAATTTGATTGCGTAAGGGTATAAAGATTAACTGAGGACCACATGACAATAGATAATTGTCAATTGTAAAAAATAAATTCTGTCATTAATTGCAAAATTATAAAATATACAAAAAATATATTTAAATAAATAATATTTAACAAAATATATTAACATGTTGATTCAGTAATGCCTTTATCAACAACTTTGTATACAGGTATATAGGCACAGAACACGTTTCAGGCAGTCATAATATCCAAGAAATAAAACTTGCACGATCACAGGTAAAATATCGAAATTAGAAGTTTATTTAAAGAGGGAAGCATTATCATATTCTCATTGTATTTGAATGAAAAAAGAATTAAGAATTAAGACTCATTTTATCAATTGATTTATAAGATTTCATTCTTGGATAATATAGACGTCATTACTACTTTATGATATGTATATTTTTTGTGATTGTTCTTATCTATAGATCTTATATTGATAAGCTAGCTAAGATCGGTGTTTGGTTAATTTTGATTTAGCGATTATTTGGGAAAAAATTGGAATTACCTTTAAAAATTAGGATCGGATTAAGCTTTTTAAAAGTTGTTTAAAATGAATAAGTTAACATACAAGTTGAGAAATTTCTAGCTTGAAGAGAGTTTTCCCGTTTTCGGAGAAGTTTTTATGATATAGTAATTATTAAAAATTATCAGCATTTGAAAAACTAATTTTGGTTGTTTTCATAAAGTTTTAGCCCTCTAACACACCAATACCGTGTAGAAAAAACATCCTATTTCTAATTGTCATACGGGAAATTAGTTCAAATTCTAGGATGCAGTTGGTAAATGATTACATAAATACACATAAGTACTGGTAGCTTTTGACGGTGATTGACAAATTTTCCAGTTTATGACTGGCTTTTCCATGTCAGCTTAGGTTTTATTTTCTAATAGGTACGAGTTTAGTGATTGATAAGACATTACATATATACATATATTAGATCAACAGAAATAGACATATTCGTCTAGGTTGTAAAAAGACAGTCAGGTTATAACAAATTTCTTTGAAGCTTTAACGGTTAGAGCACTGAAACTGTTATTGTGTTACACTTTAGTAGATATACACATACACCTTGGAACTCACTTTTTATGTGAAACTTAGTTCAAAACAAAAACCTGGTGAAAACGAGCATCACTCAGCATCAAAAATGGTGACCATGTTTTCCTTGTACGTACATACTTTTATATTTGTGTATGTATATACAGTTTTGTTTCTGAATATATATACAAAAGAATTATATGTTGTCTTCATGACGAAACCTTGTTTCAGGTGACTGGTAGAGAAATCGATATCTGGCTACAGTGTATGGTTGATTCGGACATGTGATCATTATAATAATCAATAATTAGATAGCATTAGAACAGGATATGACGTTTGGGAGAACGCCAAAATGGTGTATACTTATCCTAACTCCCCAAAAATAGTTTCATTTTCTTCAAAGGCCGACTTTCTTGATATTCATTCGAACGTTTCTCAATCCGATGTTACAGTTTGGTTTTCCATTCAGGTAGTGGTGTAGAAAAAAGTGTTTAAATAAGAAAGAAAGAGACTGATTGAAGTTTTACTTAAAACTATGAACAAAAGTTGTGCAACTGAATGGAAATGATTCTCCAGAAATAAAGAGCGGAATGTTGTAATTCTTGGAGAGAACTAGAACGGTTAACCAGAAAAATGTTCGAGTTTTGTGGAAACAATATCTGAATAAAGTTTCATTTAAATTCATATATAGTGCAATAAATAAATAAGATAACGGACTATACTCCACATGCTTGTAACAATGACTTGTTTATGGTACAAACAATGAGTTGTTTTTTATGGTTGAAAACAATTTCGACGTTAAACAGGATTTGATTTTGACGCTTGAAAAAGGCAATGGAAAAGCATTGATAGGAAAAATGAACAACTCCATATTAAACTGAATTTAGAGGCTTGGGTACTTTATAAACATATCTTGATAGTAGCAATTTTCCGCAATAAAGTCAACCTGCTGGATATTTCTTAAGAAAACGCAGGCATTCGGAGCAAATAAATATTTACATTAACTAGCATTCCCACCATTTATGGGAGAAAAACGACAAAACCTTACAATACAATAAAAAGTGGATGATATTGAGTTGTTATAATTTCAGAACTTTCCAGATCATAAAAGACTAAGGGTCTGTTGTCAAGAAAGAAAAATATCCAGAAGCTTAACAACAGAATTGATTTTGAAAAAGGTGTTATCTCAAGCTGAATTTCAGTTTGCGCCAAAATAATAGCTAGTGAAAAAATATGTAGAACTTGGTAAACGCTTTAAAATCATGTCAATTTTACAAAATAAAAGTTGCAGCAAACATTCTGAGCTAGAAAGGTCTTGTACAAAGAGTAGAGCTATCACAAAAATATAACACTTAAAGGAAGAAGCAGGGAAAAGGTGATGTGGAAAAAGAATACGAAAAAATATAGAAATAAAGAACAAGATGAGTTGTACAAGTTTGTGGAAGGATTACCAGCAATTCTGGAAACATGTAAAAAGTAAGAAAACCCTAAAAACATAAACAATTGTTGACTGGAAGACTGTATAATTGGTTGGCTGTTTTTAGAGCTAAGCCACATTGGACTATCTTTTGTGTTCACCGCAGAAAATCGAACTCCGAATTATAGACTTACTGCTGTCCCGCCGGGGAACCTGTACAATTGAATTATTATTTCTCGGGGTACCTTAACAAAAGTATTGATTAAAGCACAGTTGAACTAGTCAGATAAAGATAAGTGACAATAAGATTGACTTTAATCTTGGTAATGAATGCATTAGCCATACCAAAGGTGATAATATAAAATTAAAGTATTTTTCATCTGTTTAGCCTGTATGATAATATAAACAGCAACGGTATATATGATACCAGATGGAGGCTTGTGTGGATATTCATTGCGAATGCTGATGAAACGTAGAAAATATGTAGGTGCTTTAAGAATGCACTTGTTCTTTCTTACAACGACCTATTAATTAACAATGTAAGGCCAATAAATATGGTTAATCTCTGGAAGACAATTTTACGTTCATAACAGGGTGTTGTTGGCAGTGCTTGTGACATGTTTGGGAACACTGGTGGAATACCCTAGAGAATATATTACAAACTTGGAATCTGTAAGACTTAGTTAATAAAAGTAATGAGAAAAATATGTAACGATGAATTGAAATTGGGTATATAACAAAAAAGGAACAAATTTCGTTTTTGAAACGCGCAATCGCATTCATAAATAGGCTAGTTAACAACTTGCAGGTGTGAATATACGAATGTAATAGATAGATAAAGTCCATGTGCACAAAGTCAGACAGTTGTAATACAATATTGTAAAATACAAATGTACTTGTTATAAGATTGGATAAAAGCGGTATCTGGTGTTAGAGGAGACATAAAATAGAAAATACTAGATAAAAGAAGACCATGAATTCCGTCTCCTGCATAACAGAGCTCAGTACAAAGCCAATGAAACACATACTTGGCACGCATCTCTGTTAGTTATTTCTTTTCTGATTTGCTATTTCATTTATATTTATGTATAGAAAGGCAAGCGTACAAATTTCATTTCAGGAAAATCGTTTTAATTGCTGAGAGTTTCAACCGATTTGGACAATGGAAGATCTCTGCTGACGTTGAGCATTCCGTGCATTTGAACGATAGGAAGTGAAACGGGATGTGTTTTGATACTTTCGACAACACAACACATCTTTCATCGAATTTCTGAAATTGTTTGAAAGGAATGCATACAATATGGGATTAATACCTGAATTAAAATACAATAATAGAGTTGTACCAATCGTAATGAAAACGGATTCCTTAGTACCTCCGTTGAAATTAGGCGACCAATATTGCCAAAGTTTACGGGCATGGAAGGGCAAATTACATAACGCAAAACTCAATACAACCGCTAATAAAAGGCGGACTACTTTTCTCCTTGCATTAATAATTGTCCTTGGAGCTTGAGAAAGACACTGCTGTTCGAACGAGATAGTCTGCAAGTTCCTCCTTGTCCTACTAGAGATAGCTTGCTGGTTACATATCTGGCTAGTTTTGCGCATATTACAATAGCAACAATGCTCCGTCACAACAAGCTTAGATATATCAATTATTGATGAACGAACTTTTTGACAAACACAGGTTCCACCATCCTTGCTAATAACAAAATGAGCTCCGTGGATATGTTCAGAACTTCTCGATAGTCCCCCGGGGCAACAGAGGAGAGAGGAATGCGATCCTTGGAGATCAGAATGCCTTTTAGCTAACGCAGTTTGGAAGGGCTTTAATTCTACATCTCGCGTGTTCTCGTGCTCGGGAGACTTTAGATTACCTCTCCAAAGACGAATACCAATTATAGTATACAGTATGATGATTATAACTAAAGGAACAATTAGAAGAAACACAAAATTAACAATGTCATACACTTCAGAATCATAATAGCGTCGTTGCAAGAAGCATTCAATCGTTGTGCCTGATGGTGATGGAATCTCTGCTGTACCGTAAATGATGAGCCGTGGACAACAATAGACTGCACATATCAACCACACGAACGCTATAACAACTCGTAGTCGTTTCAAAGTAACAGCATGCTTACTCCACAATGGATGGACAATGGCCATGTACCTCTCGATACAAATTATCATTAGGATTGTAATAGAAGCAGTGTAAGTCAAACTCTGAATAAAATGGTACATTTTACAAAGAAAGTTTCCAAATGGCCAACTGTTCATCAAATACAGTGAGAGGTTTTGGAAAACGCAGAATACACCTACGCAAAGATCAGCTACAGCAAGGTTTATCAGGAAAAAGTTCGTTACTGTGCGTAGGCGCCGATGGAGGAAAACAACAATCATGATAAGTAAGTTTCCTGAAACACAAATAAAAACATAAGTATGTATGTATGATTGTTCTTCCTGAAACTGGTGTACAAACAAGTATACAAACCACAGGTGATAAAAGTTTTTAAATTATATATCATACGCAAATTTCAAATCATGAGAAGGAAACAGTTAGAAAAGTTTTTAAAATGACTTAAATTTGCTAACGGTAAAAAACTCTTTCTGCTTAGGTAAAACAGTTGTCGCATAAGCGTTTATATAATACAATGTTGTTGTTGTTTTGTATTTCAGAGTGATGAATGGAATAGTGAGCTTATATTTCAGTAAAATATTTCAATCTAAATATCAGATAATGCAGTTTTATTTTGAAAATTTGGGTTATTTTAACTGAATTAAAACCATGTTTTATAACTTTCTCTTTACTTCAAATGATCGGATAATGTATGAAAATTTAAAAAAAGGGAGATAGAACATGATATTACACGTTTAATAGTATTAAATTTAATATTAACACCAACGCCACAATCATTGTCTTGTTGTGGGAACAAAATATTTCTACTATAGCCAGTAGCTCACTTATTCATAGTTGTTACTGCTACGTTAAAGATAACCACTTCCAAAATAAAAAAAAAGTTAACATTTGAGTGGCATAAGATATTATTAGTACTGACACAACAAATACAAAGTATTAACACAAGAAAAATATACATGATATCAAAACGAGATGTGAGTGACACTATCGCAAAATACACGTTGCATTAACATAAAGAGATAGTGATATTAAGATATATGTAATATTAAAAAAGAAATACATGATTCTGATATAAGATATACATGATAATTTCCAATACATACGTAATACAAACACAAGAGAAATGTCGAATTAACCATAAAGATACAAAGATAAGTGGTATAAAGATATAGATCTATGTAACTAATACAAGATTCTGAAAAAAGTAAAGGTAAATATATCTGACCAGCTTGTATTTTTTTTTCATTGGAGCATATGAAAACTTGATGCGCTGCAGTTAGTGAAAAATCAGTTAATATAAATATATATCTAAATGTTCATAGCACTTTCATTTTGAAGGGTAAGAACTTCATTTGTAAGATTACTTTAAAAATTGCTACATATCTCTAAAAGTAACAACTCAGCTCTAAGAAAACACAAGGATGGTGAGAGTGATTTTGATTTGTCTAAAAATGTGTTTCATTACACGTTTAAAGATACATACTTGTATATTAAATTAATTTTTGTCACAAGTACATTGTACTTTACATTATGATGTGTATTCTAACCAATATGTTTACAAATAATTTAATCAAATGAGAAAAATCATTGTGTTACAGAAAAGGGACAAACTTACCAAATACACAACAAAAAAAGACAAAAGTGTAGGCGACAATCAGTGCAGCTCTTTCGGCCTTGCTGAAAATAGAGTTTACCTCCAAAGACATGTTGTGCCGAAAATTGGTGTTGTTGACTTCTGTTGAATTCTCGTCTCCCAAGTTGGCGAAAACAACCCCTTCCATAGTTTCATTGGCTTATAAACATCTAAGGCGGATAACAGTCATAATTAATCTGCTTTATCATTTAACATAAGACTGTGCCGGAGTTAACTTGAAAACGTTTTTAAAGTTTCACAGGCAGCAGAAGTCCATATATTACATATAGATTAGTCCTAACCTACTTACTGTTGACCTTCTTATTAACGACTAACCATTTATTTTCATATTTCATTCGTTTACAACAATACATATCTTCTAACGTAAATTACGAAACGAAAACAACATCACAATGCACACAGATTAACCTAGATTTTGTTTAGTACAAAAAGATCCTCTAGAAACTTATAAAACATGTTAACAGTATCGCCTGTGCACGTTAAGGAGAGGTACTTTTAGATGAATATAAATTAAAACACAATAATGATGTTATAGAAAAAAAGAAATGAAACTTCTAATTTTGTCATAAATAATATGTTAAAAGTACAAAAAAATAAGTTATATATTCATGAACTTGTTTCTATTTCCAGCTGATTGTTTTATAATTCTCAAATAGATATTTGTCGTTTATATTCAAATACTCAAATTAACCCAAAGAAACGAGTGTTTCATGCTTTTATAAATTCGGTATAAATCACACTAAGTAGCCAGAAATAGAGACATTATAATTAGACTATGATAGTGACTTGTGATACTTACATGTGGTTGTTTTTTTCACGTACTTCACCAGCTTGAGAATATAATCTTGAATTAAAAACAGCCAAGAAACAGAAAAGGGAGAAGAGACGTAATTAAACTTTGGGAGTAATCTAAAGGCGAATATGTTCATTTTTGTAGGAATCTTACTTAAGCATGTTGTCTGGTTGACGATACTTAAATATTTATAGAAATAAATATCTTTAAAATGGAAATAAATATAACAATATACAGAGGATTGAATAAGTTATATTAAAATGATTTTGAAGAACCCCAACCGATAAGAGATTTAACATTTACTAAAGTGAATACAAATATCTGTATCATAAGTACTTGGAGTATCATTAAAATTTATTGAAATTTTTACCACATCTAGATTTGAAATTATGATTTATTTGCATAAGACTTTATACTGTCGGATTTTTTTATTCAATATAATGTTCTGGTTTGTAGGTTAAAAGCATTGTTTCAACAAACATTGCTTTTACACTCCCATTATTTGATTTATTACTAAGAAATGTGTTTCTTTTAAATCTTAAAACCTCTCATATATCACCACCGACCGCCAACTCTTGGGCTACTCTTTGACCAACGAATAGTGGGATTGATCGTTATGTTATAACGCCCCCACGGCTGAAAGGAACGAGCATGTTTGGTGTGACGGGATTCGAACCCGCGACCCGCAGATTGCGAGTCGAGCGCCCTAACCACCTGGCCATGCCGAGCCATCCAAATTTAATGGGTACTTGATGCTAATTATTACAAACTATATCCGAGTATCAAAGTTATGCCCTATGTGGTAATTTTTACCTGATGTATAGCAGAAAATACGAGTGATATTCAACCAAAAACTGTATAACTGTAAAAAAATAAAGGTGCTGCCAAAAAAAAAGGAGAATTGCAACAGAAAAATGTGGAATGAAAGTTTGCGGCCAAAATGAGAAAAAAAAAGTGGATGATTAAAATTTTATTCAAACTATTGTGAATAAGAATTCAAAGTTTTACAAAATGTGTAGAGTTTGCATATTTATTACAAGAAATCACATGAGCCGCTGGTTTTTGTCGATGTGTAGCTAAGCATAAAACAGCGGCATTTTGGCCACAAATTTTTATTTCACATCTTTCGGTCGCAATTCTTTTTTGTTTGTTTGTTTGTTTTTTGGCAGCACATTTTTTTACTGCTCTGCTGTTTTTGGATTATATACCTTTTCTATAGTTAACTAATGACAATTTCAAGTAAAAATAACGTTGTTTGCGACATTAAAAAATGGAGAGGACAAAAAAATGATAGAAATAAACAAGTGATTTTTCTACTGTCAATCTCATCCAGATATAACTCGTCAAAATCTGACCTAAAATATGTTGTTTGATCATAATAACAACTGTCTTTGTCTATAGTTTTAAAACAAGTATTACTAGCAGGTAAAAAGCTTTTATTTTTTTTTCACACATCTTCAAAGTTAAGTTCTCCTCGTACAAAATCAATTTCAATAATAACAACTGCCTTTGTCTATAGTTTTAAAACCAAGTATTACTAGCAGGTAAAAAACTTTTATTTTTTTCACACATCTTCAAAGTCAAGTTCTTCTCGTACAAAATCAATTTCATAGCACATTATCTTTTAAGCCAAATCAATTCGTTATTCGAAATTGGTTGAAATTCAGAAATGACAACATATGACTCAAGAGGGTTAGCACTGCTGTTTTTTGTTGTTGTTGTGTATTTTTACTGACGTAAAGTAACAAACAAAAATATATATCTCAAAGCGACAACTTCAAAATAATGATCTATTTTATTAGCAGTAAGACTATAATGTTTTCCTTCAGATAGAATCAATGTTGTGTTTATTATCTAAATGAATCTCAAATAAGGCCTAATTTATTGAGATGTTTACATAAAGTGTAAAATCTTTAAATTTATTGAATTGTAAATAAAGCTTAAGGAAAGAAACATCAACTACTCCATTTTAATGTTAAAATACAGTTTGTTTGTTTTTTGAAGCAAAGCCATCTTGGGTTATCTGCCGTGTCTACAGCGGTGAATCGAACCCGGATTTTAGCGTTGTAAGTCCAAAGACTTACCGTCACTAGGCGACTGTTCAAATACTAAATTAAATTTTAACTTGGAATAGAAAATCATTATATTTGAATATTTTGTATGGTTATATAAAATTACGAACTGATTAAACGTGTATCCCTTTAATAATTATAAATTCTACTTTCATGATATTTATCAAATTAGGTATTAAAAACAATAGAATAAAGATACATTTACCTTAGTATTTACTAGGTCAGCAAGATAAGCTATCAAGTAACAACAACAGCATGAAACTATTTATACTATATTATAAGCAGGATACTCGCACTTATTGCAGGTTCCTTTGTATTTTAAACTTGGTCTTGTTTTGTAAATCGATTTAAGGGAAATCTTAAGATTAAAATCTGTTCTTTTCCGCAGTGTTCATTATGTCTCAAATATTGTTGTCAATGGACAAGAGGTGGTGCAGTGTTCATTATGTTGTTGTCAATGGACAAGAGGTGGCGCATGATGTCCTTTTATAGGGAGGAGGTTAAGAAGAATGTTATTTATATATCTGAACCTCCAAACATTAAACGTTCTTAAATGAAGTGGATAGAAATAATTAAGAACATTTATGTTATAAATACAATAAAATTCATTTGGATTTATTTCAGAATTTGGGGTAAAAATGTATACAAATGCTTGAAAGGATATATATATATACAACATGAAGTCCGAAAGAAGTAACACAAATCACTAGACCTACTTCATCAACGATGCATTAAATATTCTTTACTATATACTTTATATAGTATATAAAAATATACTTTTTACCGACTTATGACCGAAAGATTATGTTCTTCTCCCTCCCCCCTTCACATACTACTAGATATTTTTGGATCTCAGCCCCTCACCTTCAAATGGTGTCTGTTAGGTCTAATAATTAAAGGTTTGAGATGTAGGAAAAACTTTGCTACTACCCTCCAATTTTTATTACAGCTCAACTCAGTTACATAATCGGTCTCTTATAGTAAAGAAATAAATAAAGAATTCCTCATTGTACTGTAAATTTATCATCTTGGTGAAACCCAGTTTAAGATATATCACTAAGATTATTATTTTGTAATCAAGACAAAATATTTTGGATGAAATGCTAACATTCTCCTCACTAGAACAGTGGTTCTCAAGGTGACCCTGCCATTAAAACTAAATATCATTTCTATAGTGGCATAATCAACATATGAATGTCAACATATCAAAGTCAGTTTACTTAATTATGCAAAAAAAAAAAGAATTTTACATGAACATCATATATTACCGGTATAATACAAGACATTTACAGATTAAAGCATGAAAATAGTGTTTACATTTGATCTGATATAAAACTGGTGTTGACATCAGAAAAATAAGGCAAGTTATGAAATTACAAATTAGATAAACTTTCATGTGCAAATAAAGTTGTAAGTTTTAAATAGGTCAGCTTTATGGGTATATAGTTAAATAATTAAAAACAAATGTGTCACTTTTCATCACCATTTTATTAGCCTGGGATTCGCTAATCTGCATACCATAATATATGTCCAATATTTGCTGTAAGTACTCGTGTGTCTTATTCTAACATGTACATACCTAGATTTTCATGACCAGTATATTTTCCCATCATGTACACTTCAATACAGTTCATAATGGTCCTTTTTCAACTTGTGTAAATTTACAGTTGTACAATAATTTCAGTCTACCAGAATTTATAATAGGAAATTAAAAGATTGAAATATAAGTTAATTTTTTCCCTCAATGCCTTTTTTTTTCAGAAAACGGCCATGTATGCCACAGAGTAATTTCACAAACCTTACAAATGTGATTAAATAGAAATACCAAGGACATAGGGCTAGCTTTTCCAACTGAGTACAGTACACTACAGTGGATTAGTTTTAAGAGCACTGCAGGAATATATCTACAGCATAATCAACAATATTAATCACTAAATGTACAATTCATATTTATATACTAATCAAATTCTGCTATTTCATGCGAGAATCATTTCTGCAGTACTTTGTTTCATGTGAACATGCAAATAAATACACAATCGGCTATGTGTAAAACTTAATTGATATTTCACACATACATTACAATTAAAAGTAACAAAATAGAAAGGCAAGTACATATATTAGTACTGTAATAAAACTAGGCTCACTCTGTTTTAAGCATATCTATATGTCCTACATATGTCACAGTTACCTTAATGTTTTTTTATGTTGTTGTTGAAGCAACACAAAACATTCTGGGCCACTTGTACTGTATAGTGATTATTT